TGGGGGAGGGGGGGGAGGGGGAGGAGGCACAGGGTTAGGCGTAGAAGCAGAGGCTGGTCCAGTAGGTGTGGCTCGATCCCAAGCAGGCCTCAACCCTCTTGGGCCTTGCCCATAAAGCGATGCTGATCTGGTGAGCAGGTGCTGATTATCCCTATAAAACCCAGACTCCTCAGGTTGGTGCCCTGAAAAGGTAGAGTCAGCCAGGTAATAATCCAGAGACGGTGCAGAGCTTACCATGGTTTTTCTGAGGTTGAGGCTGCTGCCTAGATCAGGTACAGAGTTTTTCCTTAGCAACTGTAGTCCTTGACCATTCTGTCGGGTCACAGAAGTCTGAAGAAATGGATCCCTTTTCTCACTGAGACTTACGTGATGGTGAAACCTCACTCCACCGTCTCCTCCACCCAAGGCTAAAGAATTCCTACGCCCTGGAACGGTGCCACAATAATGACAACGACTTGACGCCGTCTGATTCTGGCCTTCTATCCATTCAGCACTGTGGTGAGGGCCCAGAGAGCCACCAAAGTGCGACTGCTCACTTGAGTTAGGCATCAGTGAAGACAATAATGCAGACAGCTATGAAAGCAGAAAATAGAGCCAGGTGTTGTGTTTCAACTCTCTGGTTACACTCACTCCCAATCAAAAGGAAGGAGTGAGGAGAGGGGAGCAGAAAAGGTGAGGTGCGCGAGGTGCCCCTCACCTGATCCGCAGCTGCACACTCTCCCCAACTCCTCCCTCGCTCTTAAGGCTGCGCTATCATGTAGCTCCCTGCTGGCAACATATCTAAATAATTCAGCCCTGGAAACATTAGAAATCTACAAGGACAGAAGAATAAGATGACACGGAGAGTGTATACACACACATACACATACACAGTCAGTCGGACACGAAAAACACACCTTTAAGGCGAGGATGTAATCCACTCTACAGCAGGTATCATGCTTGTGTGTGTCGTCATGCTTGTGTTCCAAACTAAAACTGACGGTAAAGGAATTATTCTGAAAACAGAAAGAGGGGAGGAGGGAAACAGACACCCTAATCCAGTGGCCTGTTGAATGCTATTGGTAGGCCCAGTTGTCTGGCCCAAGGTGTTGGCTACAAAGGGATTACCCACAACACACTAAAACCTACTTAAATCCAGAGGCCTCTCTGACATCACTTGAACCACAGTGTACTGTGCATACACAGCATGCTTCTACAGTCTAGAGTCTACAGTGCATGGTGACTACTAACAACTTCACTGGTCCATAGCCAGCATCTCTGAGCATGAGCTGATCTCTCGGGCCGTCTATCATAGTAGATAAATTGTGTGTGGGTGTGATGTGTGAGTATGGGAGGGGTTGGGTCGAAGAGTCTGATGTGTGCTCCTGAGATGTACGCTTTGTTACAATGAACTTTGGATTGATGCACAGGATGAAGAGGCATGCAAGAAACTGAACGGTGCCAATTGTTTCAATAATAATAAATAATAATTTTATAACATTTTCTAATTAAAAAATAGATTAATTACTCCCATCATTATCTGTGCAAACAGTTAGGAGTATAAGCCAGACTGTAGTGACTGGGTTTGAGCACTCAGCTTTGTTTTTGTACAGTACACCAACTGTGTACTAGTAAGTGTATGGCACCATTAAAACGTGTTTAACATTTGTGATCCTTTAGCAAAACAAAACGCCTTTGCTTTTTGAAAAGAATCAGACAACTGCAAATAAAGACTCCTGAGCAGCTACAGGCTTTCAGACAGAAACAAAAGAACAAATATTAACCTAGCAAATGTGAAACAATTCCTACTGATATTTAGTAAGTAAACGAAATTTGTCTTTCCACCAAATTCTCTAAAATCTGTTGTACAAATAATTTTGAATTATTTTTACAGATATAATCCTTTTAAGTGCATTATATATTGAGCATGAATGGTATATTTTTTAGTGTCAAATACAATATATTAAACTTTAAATATGCAGTATATCAACATAAACCTATTTTTATTCCTTTCTCACAGTTTTTCCTCCATCACAAAAAGTTGCACAAAGCAGATGTGGGTTTATCTTAACAAATACTGTTGCTTACCTACCATGACAAGAGCAATGTAAACAAAAACAAAAAAAAAAAAAAAAAAACAGAGTCAGGAGGAGAAGAAAAGACGGCTGTGATAAGGCACAAGGCTGCCAGAATTGACTTGCCGACTAAGAAAGACAGTGTGGGAATGGGAAGAGGTGGATTTTAATTGGACTGCAGTGGACCCTAACAACTAGATGGTCCCAATATGACGTGCTTCGTTCTTATTTGAAATAGTGACAGGGATTTAAAGTTTTTTTGTTTTGTTTTGTTTGTTTTTTTTTACAAAAAAAGCACTCAACAGCAAAGAGACAGGAACAGCGTGACTGAGATGGGCTGTATTTATTAGTTTACCTGTGACAAGTGACTGCTGTGTTTTCACACCACCTGTCAAGCCACTGAGTGGAGCTATTACTAACTTTTTTCTATTGTGAAACCCAGGTAGAGCAATATAAAAAAGAAATTAACAATTAAAAAAAACATTATGCGATAACCAAAATTGGAAAACACAAACAAAAAAACACAACTTAGCATTTACCATAGTTCTGCAAATTCCACATAAATGGTCACCTTTTCTCTCCCTGGAGATGAAGCGTACATTTCTGTGCAGTGATTTCTCCACACTGTTCTGTGTTCTCTGGTCTGAGTATTGCTGCGCTTGTCAGTAGTAAAACCATACAATTAATCACTTTGTTGTGTCTCTCCATAGCAACTGCAAACAATAACCTATTTTAATAAGCCTGTTTCAGAGCTGTGTGTCACTCAGAATCCCACTTTAAATATGAAATATTATTATCAATAATAATCATCTCAACAAGCAAGCTCTGGCCCGTGGTCGTTAACAGGAAAACAAGAGGATATGGCACTTCATCTCTCCTGTCAGGCAAAACGCTGCATTTCCCACAATTCATAATCCAAAGGAGCCAGGGAATCCATATTCATCTTGTCTACATCCTCTGATATGTCTCTCATGAGAGCTGCTCCATAATTAAATGAGCATGCTATACAACACTCATCAAGCAACAGGGGCTGCGTACTTGGGAGCATGAATAATAAAGTGAAAGAAAAGAAACCCCAATTCAGGGGCTGGATATTTGGCGAAGGGAATCAGCTCACTCACCTCCTGGCTAATCATACGGCCCCATGAAAGACCTCTGGGCTCAATGTGCTGAACAGACATGGAGCAACAGTCATGCCTTTTGAGCAATCTGGCCATCTTTCTAGGGCACAGGATGCTTGCTGCGAGAGTTGGCAGGGATAGCAGCACAATGATTTACACTGCTCGCCTCCACAACCACTACTGGTCCATTAATTTTTCATAGGGACTTCATAAATTAAAACCTTGACTGGGAGTTCTTGAAACTCCACTCAATTATGGCGATTGTACAGTATATTAAAGTTTTAACGAGCCTCGGGGCCCTTTCTTGGTCGAAACACGAGTGTGGTTGGAAGCAGAGAGCATCAAGGAGAGAAAAACACATGGTACCAATTCTGGTCTGATGGCTTTCGTACGGTTCACATCTGCTGTGGAATCAAAATCCTGCCTTCCGCCTCCTTACCACCTCGAATGTCACACATTTGCATGGGTGGGTGGAACACGGGGGCAGAGCGAGAGACTCTGGTGCAAACCTTTTATTAGCAGGGCAGGAACTCCAGAACACTTGCTGAGGCAACTGCTTGGACTTTTTTTTTTTTATCTTACACGTTAGCTGGTTCGCTCCTGTTCTGTCCTGTGCACAGCCTGCCTATCATTATAAAACCAGTGGTCCATACTGCATCACAGATGGGGCAGACAGAAGGGAGAGACGACAGCCTGCTTGTTTTTTGGAGAGAAGGCGGGTGTGCAGCTGAGTGAGAGTGGAGGGAGGGATAGTTAGGAATAACGGAACAGAAAATTTCATTTGTCTTCACCAGGGTAGGAAAAAAAAAATCAGAACAAGTCCAAAATGATTTAGACGCCAACTCAGGCAGGCTGCTTAAATGCTATAAAAATTGTTTAGATTTGCAGTATTCTTAATGGATTTACGTAGTTACGTTGGGAGGGAGAAAGTGCAGAGCAAGGGGTTTTTAATACAAAATTCTGAGGATACTAGCTTTTTTTGGGATAATTACAATTACACTTTGCATACAGAAATATTCACAAAAATAGAGACAGATCAAGGCGAACATTTCAGAACAATTAATTGGCAACTCCGCATTTCACAGAGTGTTTCCTCTCCCTTTTCTCACCAGACATTAAACAAACATCATTGGTCAAAGATCTACTTTGTCTCATGAAACCAAATAATTATTCACCTCCTTCTCTAGTTGTCTTTCACAGGTATATAGGCCTTGAACTTTCTCTATAAACAAAAGAACTATGAGTCCATTCCTGATAATATGATGGAACAACTGCACTTCCATTTTCAACTCTAGTTGTCTTTGATGGAACAACTGCACTTCCATTTTCATTTTCATTTTAAAATAAGTTACGTGGCATTAGTTTGCTAGTTATGAACATACAAAAATTGGCCCTGAAAAACACTATAAGTATATAAGTATACACTACAAGTACATGCTGTCAATTGAAAAAACGGTATGGGCAAGTACCAATAAATCACAAACTGGAATCAACAAATGAAAAACTAGTTATCTCTTCTTAGTAGGGTTTCTTATTCTGATGTTTTCTTCTGTCTATTTTTTTTTAAGTTTGTTCAAAAACATTTGTATGCAACTGTAAAACCAAACTTAATAAATCCAACATTTTCTGATTTATGGATTGTGTTTGCCAGTTAATGAAGATCATTTACATTTGTAATGATGCAGATGTGCAGTGACATCATGTAGAGATTACATGAATAAAAGCCAGTCTTCAATGAAAATATTATCAGGCTAGATTAAAACTGCTTTGATCAAACCCAGAGGAGAGCCAGACAACAATCACAACAATAAGAAAGGCAGAAAAATTAAATTAATTATTCTGTAATAGAACAGTACTCTCACCAAGCAACATTAGCTCAAAGTTAATACAATACAACCCAGGGCTAAGATAAACCAAGGCCAAGGAAGATCACACCTTATGTCTGGACATGACATGACAGAAATGAAGGTTCCTCGTCTTTGAGAAGACCAGAGAGTCTGGAACCACACAGGTCGACTGGTCTCATACCAATAAATTACAGCCTATGCTTTGTAACAGCTGCTTTGATAAAACTAACCAGTAGCTTTTGATATAAACAGTTGGAACCAGCTCCCTGCCTGCAAGATTATGTTTAGTACACATCTAGTAGTTCAATATTTTAATCAGCTTCGTCATGTCGCTGCTGGATTTTCTTTGAAACTTTCTTTGAAGATTTTCACTCCAGACAGCATTGAACAAAAAAAAAATGTCTGTGCTCCCATGAGGTGTAAACAATGGAAACATAGGTGGTGGTTTTGTAGGGCAGTGTGCAGTGTTAGGTCTCAGCAGACGTCCATGAAAGACAACGCTCCAGATTTGCACTTGAAAGGGATCACAGCATGGACTCAGGCCTCAGCTGCTCTGTCTGTGTTTGCCAAATGAAAGTTTGGCTGAAGAGCGAACCTGGACAAAGATAAGTTATGACCGACGGTGGCTCTGTGAGGGATTTTTACTGGTGAGTGGAAGAGAGAGCAGAGCTTTGCATCATGTGTGTTCTCTTCAAGCGCAGAGACAATCACCATGGCAGCCTTATCTCCCTGCTACATGCAATCAGTGGGACAACTTTGCCTGGTCACTGGCTCAGGAACAAACCACAAGTGTTTTTTTTCCTCTTTGTACGCCCTTACAATGGCCACCAGAGGACTGATTCACTGATCCTGTATGATGGCCATATGGACAATTTGTGTGTGTGTGTTTGTGATTGTGTAAAGTGAGAAGGTACATGGACAGCTATGCTCACCAAGAAGCATCTCTGCATGCATCACAGCAACACCTGTTACTTTATCCTGTGAGCTTTGCGCTCCTGCCCAGCAGCGTGGACTACTATAACTGTTGTTCCCTCAGGAATAACTAACTACCTCTGATGTCTGACTTTCCCTGAACGCAACAGCTGGATGTGGACGAACAAGCTTTTCAGAAAAGACTTTTGGCAGCACTGTGAAATATTTCTGTTTTGAAAACCTTGTCTTCAGGCCTGAGTGATTAGTCTTTATTAGGGACAGTAATTCCATGTGCAGTACTACCTTAATAGAATCCTGTCATCTTAGACTAAAAGAAACATCTTAGCTCCCAGTGAGTATAGAGCAATCACTTATTTAGCAGGGAAAAAGACTTTCACAAATGGATACAAGCAGCCAAACTTAAAAGAGCTGGTGAAGACAACTTCACAAAGAAAAACATTCTATGGAGATTTATAAATTAGCATGTAACATTTTTGAGAGCAAAAAAAAAAACAACTGCTCAACTCCAGTTAATGCTTTAGGTTTCGATGTTTAATACTTTTGCAAAATATTTAACAGAGTTTCAAGAAATCAAAATTGTGCATGCAAACCAGGGGCAGAAACTGCTGCTGAATAGTATTGTATGAGAACCACTATTACAACACGCCAGCAGGATGGACTTATCAACCTGGTTTTAAGAATACTTTAACAGACGTAGGATGCAAAACTGTTTGGTAGAGTCTGTCTTTAACTTTGATGTTACACAAGTAAAAGTTGTTCAGTGGGAAAAAAAAACTATTTTAGTCTAATTAATTAAAAGAGCATGCGCATTACCAGTGTGACATTGTATCCTGAATGTAAAACGATCGATTCACATATACTTTAAGCTGCGACAGACGAGACCTCCAGCAGAGGCTGGCATGGGGAAGTTAAACTGTCTGTTTTTGGCCACACTACTGCTTTATACAGGATGTGCTGTTTATGTCATTCATTTTATGCCCACGACGCTGAGGTGCTTACATCATGCTGCAAAACAAATATGCTGGCACTGGGGGTAATGGTGCGTCTAGCTTCATTTTCCAGCACTGCAGTCATGTCTGCCTCTCCCTGCGTTGGCTCCAGGAGGGCCCAGTGGCTTAACAAGCCTCTTGGGGATCCAGAGAGCGGAGAGGAGATGATTTTACCTCAGGACACAGTCTGACAGACACACGCATGCACATGTGTGTGTCTGTGTGAGTGCGTGTGGAGCAGAGTCAAACAAG